AGGTGGTGTTTTTCATTAAATTAAACAAGTAGTACACATTTATAAATAATTTAATTCCGTAAGAAGTACACAAAATCTATAGCACCAAACATTACAAACAAAAACGTACAAAATTGTGCCTACTTTCTCATTTAAATATTTATAAGAATCATTACTACACTAAAGAGATGTTGAGACGCAGAACGCAGCATAGCAGCGCACAATTGATAGGACAAAGCAATAAACTACGGAATCAAAGGTCGTGAGAGTAATCTGTGACGCAAAATATTGAAAAAATATTATTTAATTACTATTTAATCCAGACCATTCTTGTCTTTTATCAAAATTTATTACCATTATTATATAATATATTTACTTTACATTATTTACTGGTGGTAGGACCTCTTGTGAGTCCACGCGGGTAGGTACCACCACCCTGCCTATTTTTGCCGTGAATCAGTAACGCGTTTCGGTTTGAAGGGTGGGGCAGCCGTTGTAACTATACTGAGATCTTGGGACTTATATCTCAAGGTGGATGGCGCATTTACGTTGTAGATGTCTATGGGCTCCAGTAACCACTTAACACCAGGTGGGCTGTGAGCTGGTCCCTCCATCTAAGCAATAAAAATAAAAATAAATGAAATAAAGTTGTTTTATCTACCATTGTACTAAATTAGGGTCAAATTTATGAAATGAAACGAGATGAGTTGAAATGAAAATAACATCCCATAAAATGGTGTGAGTTTACTGAGACTTAGTGAACTTTTTACAAGAGCCAGAGAAGGCACGTTCAGTGATTGTTTCTTTTCTCACATTTATGCATTTTCACAGATAGCATACGGTTAACGAGCTTTGCTTTTACTTTGAAGCGAAATTGTGTGATTTGTTTTTTGAAGTTTATCAAAAAACAAATCACACAATTTCGCTTCTTGCGTTCCCGCCAAATCTTCAGACACAGATACAATATTTATAGTGTTACCATTGCTACAATATTGTCGTGTTTTACGCCTACCTATAGTAAGATCTCCTCACATGAGTATTCCTCGTTTTTGTTGATTAATCGAAATCTCTATAATATCTGTACCAAAAAATCAGTATTTTATATTTATTTCATTTTTATCAAATTGTTTATACTATGTGATGGGTAACATAGTTTTAATACGTACGTTTTAAAATCCGTGGTGATCAGTCACATAGCATTGAGCCAAATTTGTGTACGATTACGTATCAGGCATTTGTCCGCAGCTTTATACTTAAATAAAACATTACTAGATCAGTCGTCCTATGCTGAGCTGTATCTGCCCCCTGCGTCTCAACATGATATCCTTATTCTCATAGAATGTTAGACGAAGTGTACAGAACAACGATTACAATACTATTATATCAAAGGTAACTTTGAAATGCAATTTCAATTGTACCTAGACTGTATCAAAGGTGATAATTTCAATTTGATTCAAACATTTCATAAAACCTATTTCATAAAAATATGGAAGGAAAAAATCATGTCTATTATTTCCTTAGAACATATAGTATTTTTATAGCGCTTTACTTTATTCATAGACACCGTCTTAAAATTATATATTAATGTAGTTGAGTTTACGTCGCGCGTGGCTTTTGGCGCCGAAAAATAAGGATTAGGGATGGCACAAGATATATTTTGGCGACTTTAGACTTGTTCAAATGTGCTCTGAACGGATTTGCAAACATGACTTTATATATTTTATGATAATACCGTGAAAATTAAATTGAATTGTGTATATGATTACTATATTAAGAGATAAAAAAATATATTTATATTTTCAAAAAATAATTATAAATTTGACTGTTATTGCACTATTGATGCAGCAATAATTATTGTATTAGGTGATGCTTGTTCTAAGTTTATAAATAAATAAATATTTAAGGGTCGAAGTGATGAGTATCTGAAGTCTCACAAATATCAAGATAAGATATGTTAAAATCCAATTCGGCGTGTTAAGTCAGAGAGTGCAAGAAAGAAAAACATGAATACTTTTTATCAGAAAGAAGAAAAAAAATCAATATATTTTCACATCCTTAATATTCGAAAATTTATAAAATTATTTCACATGTAAGAACATATTAAATAATAAGTTATTTGAAAACGAAGAAAAATAATTAATGGTATCTTGACGATTAACATTATGGAAGAGGCTTCTTTAATTAAATTCATGGTATGTATAATATTTGTTCTGCAGTGTATTGTGTAGTAGTTGTTCTGTACGCTACGTCATCATTTGTGTATTGTGACGTGGTTGAGTTTGGAGGGTAGGCGAAAATCATCGCCATCGCAATATAAAAGAGCCAATAATTTGTTTTTTCTATTGATTCCACCAATTTACTTATAACATAATAACATATGCATTCACCTTTTAAAAAAGGGGAAACTTTTTCAAATTCATTACAATTATCTTGGTTTAAAAAAAAAAACAATATCAATAGTCATACTCTTCATTTCACGACATTAGAGGCATTAAGTCAGATTTATCATAATTTAAAATTGAAAACTTCAAAATAGCATTTAAGATGTCTATTTTTGGACTTAATTGAAAATTACTCTATATAGTTCTAGCATTCACGAAAACATCCCACAAGAAGTTAATATGAAAGTTATGTTTTTGCGGAAAGCAGATCCGACATATTGCATCTAATGCGTGGACATCTTAAAAAACTTTGTAGTTTAAAAAGCCTTTTTTTTTCTTAGCTTTAACTTTTTTGGCAATCCGAAAAGATTTTATTTAACGCAACTAAAGCCTACGCACAACTATAATAATAATAATAATTAGATTTAAAATAAGTTAGTTACCATAATCGTGCCAGTTACCGTAAGATTCACTTTTCAAAGCTCCAAACAAACTTTTATAGAAAATAAATAATAATCTCATACGTAAATAAACATTACCACGAGTATACAAAATACAATGGGATTCTATTTACAAATAACGATGTTGAAATGATTGTGAATTAATTAAATTAGATTTTATTAATGAAGACATGAGTGGATGAAGGGGTTAAGTACCATTTTTAAGATTTTTGAGTTTTTACATTGAATTTTTTTTTTATTTTTTTTTTATTGCCTTTGTAGGCAGACGGGCATACGGCCCACCTGATGGTGAGTGGTTACCGTCGCCCATGGACTTCAGCAATGCCAGGGGCAGAGCCAAGCCGCTGCCTACCGCTTAATACTCTCCATAAGCCTCGTTTGAAGAAGGACATGTCATAGCGCTCGGGAAACACCGTGGAGGGGANCGCTTAATACTCTCCATAAGCCTCGTTTGAAGAAGGACATGTCATAGCGCTCGGGAAACACCGTGGAGGGGAGCTCATTCCATAGCCGGATGGTACGTGGCAAAAAGGATCTCTGGAAACGCACTGTGGATGACCGCAGTGGCTCCAGGTAGTATGGATGAACTCTACTCCGGTGGCGGGCGGTGCGATGGTAAAAACGAGATGCTGGCATCATCTCGAACAATTCCTCAGAGCACTCCCCATGGAACATACCGTACAAAATACAGAGGGAACCGAAGTCCCTCCGAAGACCCAGAGGCTCCAAAATGAATGAAGGTTAAGTGTCTATAAATCATATTAGACCCTAAAATTCCGGGTTTAAAGCCTATTTTTAGAAATTATACGTGATGAAGCAATTATGTACAAAGAAAAAGTACAAGTAAAAAAGTTTGTTGCCAGTTTACTATTACTAAAACTAACAAATTGTATCATATCCCCTTCATCCACTCGTGTCTTTAATTATTAGTTGTCACTTATAAGATATGCGATTGTACTGTCTTTGTAAACGTGAGCTTTTTTTTTAGTTTTGTTGTAACTTACAAAAAATAATATCAGTAATTAAGGAATTGATTGGCAATACCACAATAGAGTCAAAGGTACAACTTTAATATTTTAATGTAACACATATTATTATGGCCAGGGTTACGATTCGAAAGAATAATAAGTCTTATTACAATTGGCGTAAAAGTTGATTTCGATTGAACTGTTAATATCAAATTGTATTGTTAATATCATAATTCAATTAAAGAGGTTTTCATGGGGAATGAGTATATATATTATACATTTTTTTAATTGTCTTCATTTGTTAACTTAAGACTTCATTACATTGAAGAAAGTATAGTAACAAATGGCCGACATAGAATGGTTTTACGACAATTGAAAAAAAAAAACAAATTTAAGCCTTAGCTTTGTTAGTTTAAAATACTTATATGTACACAAATATGTATGTACAATCCTTCAAATATACAGCAACAAAAAATTGCTGACTAAATTTTAATATGTTTAGTAAAAAAACATGAAACGTTTCTGACGACGATTGGAAAACTTATTTTTTGGACAGCTACAAAATAAATAAACGACGATTGTTCGATCACACACGCGGCCCCCCAACCCCCCCCGGACGGGCGGCCACAGTTCAGTGTGCTTAGTGCGAGTTTCTTAACGCTCTCGATAGCGTAAAAGTTAACGCAATTTTGTATGCAGTTGGAACAGCGCCCCTAGCGGCAAACGTACCCATTCCATACAAATATGAGCTAACTTTTACGCTATCGAAAGCGTTAAGAAACTCGCACTAAGCACGGCTTACGATCCTAATGATTTATCGACATTAAGTTTGTGATCTAGCTAGTCTCATACGTAAAGCGCTGTACAGTTCCTATCTAAACTTACAACTTAAGCTAAATCAGACGCGACTCGGATAATACGAGCACTTCGAGTATCAGTCATTCGTCAAATCTCATTTCGTCTTCTCGCATTAAAACTGTATAATCTCAACAAACTTACTAATTTTACAGGAGAGCGTTTTAAATGTTTAACATGTGATATTTTTAACATTAATCATCTTTGCAACATTTATTTTTCTTTTTTTACCAGTACATTATCTGTCTTTTAAAAAGTAAAATAAAATTATGTAAGTATTAAACTTGTTAATAGTAGTCAAAACATAGGTAAATTAAAAATAATAAAAAAACTAAAACAAAACTTCGCTCTTTTGACAGTATCTATGAGAAAAATACTGGCGATACCAAATGATTTCGTATTTGAATTTAATTTCGAATATTTTTGGAAATTGTATAATTTTAATGCGAAAAGGCGATTTCTTATCTAGTTTGTGATTGTACCGTTGTAGTGGAGAGGGGCCGCACTAGAGGCACGCGTGCGGGTTGTGGGAGCACCAGCGCGGCCACAGCGGCGCCGCCCGCACCCCCCGCGCCACCAGCCGCGCGCGCTGCGTGTCGAGCCGCAAGTACACGTCCGCCGTGGCGCCCTCGGCACGGTCCGCCCACAGCCGCTCCGCCAGAGCCGCCGTCCGGGGCCACACGCGCGCGTCCAACCCGCCCGGACCCAACTGCTCCGTCCACTGGCACGCCGCGCCACCCTCCACCGGCCATGCCGCGCTCTCGGGCGTTTCCGTCGCCCACGGTCGGTGCTCGTACACCTGCTGCCACGACCGGTACGGCCCGCAGTGCCCGTCCGAGCTGTCGCGCCACGACCCGAACCCGCAGTCGAGGTACCAGGCGTCCACGTGCGAGATCACCGATCGGAAGCCGGCGTCCAAAACCGCACGCGACTCGGGCCACTGTGACGCGCCCCACACTTGTACGCCAAAGCGTTTTGGGTCGAGGCGTTCGAGGTACGGGGAGCGCGTCAATCGCGATGACCAAAGCAGAGTGAGCTCTGGCGCTTTACCCCCATTCGCGCGTTCGAGAACGTGCATGGCTTGTCGCGTGAATTCCATCCAAAGATCCATCGGATCCGTATCATTGAAGTGCTTAGCCCAGCACTGCTCCGACACCTCATCGCCACCAAGGTGGAAGATGTCGTCGACCCCAGTTAATTGAATGATCTCCCTGTAGACGTGTTCTAGTAAATCGTATATGTGAGGGTTGCGAGGATTCAGTTGGCCGCACGGAGGTTCTCCGCAGTAGGAACTCCAGGGTTCCGCCTCTATGCAGTGCGCTAAGTGGCCGAGGCCAGCCTCCGGACCCCACCCGAAAGCTCGACCGACGTGCGCCGGTGTGTCTATTTCCATCAGCACCCTGATTCCTCTGATGCGTGCGTATTTAACAATTGTTCTCACGTCGTCGGACGTGTATACTGCGCCCGGTCCGTAGGCGCCGTGCTGCGCCAGTTGGGGTGCGCTGTCTAACTTCCACGGAAACGATTGTGAATCGCTCACGTGCCAGTGGAACGTGTTTAGTTTGTTCGCGGCCATCGCGTCTATGGTGCGGAGAAGCTCACTGACGGGGAAAAAATTACGAGCCGTATCCAGAAGCAGGCCACGGTAAGGAAAACGAGGAGCATCAACTACAGTTGCCGCTTCTAGTATGAGTAGCGATCCGGCGTACGGATCCAGCCAGGTGACCTGCAAAAGTGTTTCGAGGCCGTGTCTCGCTCCGCAGAACGAATGCGCTGTGATGTCTACGACGAGGGAATTGCCGGAGGGCCGTAAGGCGAGTTTGTAGCTTTCGTTCGTGTCGAGCCGCATGCGAGGGTCGCCGGACCCGTTCACGGATACCTTCACCAGTACGTCCCGCGGGGGTCCTATGTCAGATCGACGGTTTTCACCGACCACGCCATGTTCTAAAGTTCGCATGTGATTTTGCATCACGATAAACGCTTCGTTTAAGTGTTTGGTGACGTCGCGTGATGGTGACGCTACAACTTTGAGGGAGAAGCGGTCCGATCTGACGGGCACAGCCGCCGATGCGAGGCTGACAGGCCCCGTCGGCTGTGGCCAGAGCTGGGTGGAGGCGCACAGCATGTTGCAAGTCTGCAGCGACTGTAGCGTCGTCGTATCCGATGCTTGATACCTCTCGCATCGGTCGTGTTGACATAACCAAGACCACTGAGGTTCGATGCCCCTATAACAACAACAATAATATTAAATTACATTTATATATTGTACTAGCTGACCCGGCAGACTTCGTAGTGCCCTAATCGATAAATAAAAGACTTAAACTTTTGCATAAAATAATAAACTTAAAACAAACAAAGGATTCCGTTCGACGGGGGACACATCAATGAGAAAACAAAATTTTTATTTAATTCCGAGCATTTTCATATTTATATACCTTTTAAACCTTCCCTGGACTTTCACGAATAATTCAAGACCAAAATTAGCCAAATCGGTCAAGCCGTTCTCGAGTTTTAGCACGACTAACGAACAGCAATAATTTTTTTTAAATAAAGATTATATTATAATTGTTAATTGGATCATGGCAGTGGTTGTCAAATTTTGGGTCTGAGTGATAAAAAAACTTACGAATACATGGAGTGAAGCGGTCTGTTGGCGCTGTCGTCAGTCTGCTGTTTCCAGTAGAGTACAGCAGCAGCGGTGCAGGCGGCCGCGGCCAGCATGAGCACGGCTCGTCGCAGCCGCCCCACCCTCGCAAATCTCGCCGTCAAGCCGAGCCATAATGCATCACCCCACGACATCATCTTCATCACCTATCGATGCAGCTGAAAAGGAAATAATTTCAAATCGATTTGTCAATTAACAGTTTTTTTTTTAGTGCTTAGATGCGTGTATGAGCTCACAGCCCACCTGGTGTTAAGTGGTTACTGGAGCCCATAGACATCTACGACGTAAATGCGCCACCCACCTTGAGATATAAGTTCTAAGGTCTCAAGTATAGTTACAACGGTTGCCCCACTCTTCAAATCGAAACGCATTACTGCTTCACGGCAGAAATAGGCACGGTGGTGGTACCTACCCTACGTACCTACATTACCTACCTACCTAAATTACGCCTTTTTTTGTTGTTGTTGAATATTTAATTATTTATAGTGTTGCGGTGTGTCTGGGCTCATGTTTTCACTTTACAATTGAGCGATGAGTTACACTACTGACGTCTTCTTCTTTCCTTTCTATTACCCTCTGCTGAGTTGTAGGGCTCGAATCAAATCCTTCCATTTACATTTACACTACTTATGTGTCGCAAAAAAAATACTAATCTCTTTTAAACCCACTGATCATTTTTCGTGGTCTGCAAACGAGGTATTCAACTTGAACTTTGGACATCCGAGTTCAAAACAAAGATTGGGTAGTAAAGCACTGTTTTTTTTATTTTTGTTAAGATAAATATAGATTGCTTTGGATTGTTTCGTATCGCACGGACCCAAATTGTTACAGTAAACGTGATTTTATTAACGTTTTTATCGCAAACAATTAATACGAGCGCTATGACATGTCCTTCTTCAAATGAGGCTTGTGGAGAGTATTAAACGGTAGGCAGCGGTTTGGCTCTGCCCCTGGCATTGCTGAAGTCCATGGGCGACGGTAACTACTCACCATCAGGTGGGCCGTACGCTCGTCTGCCTACAAGGGCAATAAAAAAAAAAACGCAACAGCGTTACATTTACTACTATTTAAAAAATTATCATAGGAACACATAGGTGTTATTAAAATTGATATAACTATTAAATAAATGAGAACCGAAATAAATTTAGAACTGAAACCTGTATGATTCACGAAAATCATGCATACTCCATATCTAAATTTAAACAAAATACCGTTTGGTATTATCCAAAAAAAGATATCTACCAATATTAGATAGGTACTAGCGTCGTCGTTCCGAGACGCGAGAGGTGTCTATTTCTATAGGGATGAGCTAAAAGCTCCCAGACGATGCAGCCCGAGCTTTTAGGTCACTCCAGTTAACTTTGTTCTTACGTACAAACGCAGTTTTGTTACACGCTTTTAAATTGCTAATTTGAAAACATTCTTATGGGAGTCGTTTTAGATTACGCCAGAATGTTTATTTTAGAGTAAACAGTCTTTGATTTATTAAAAAGTAATTCTCTACTGTCTATTTGATTAAGAGCCTAGTACTGCGATTTCGCAGGCACAAGTGGTATCTGCGCATCCTATTTATCTATTAACGAATTTAAATAATACAAATTTAAAATGCTTGTGTGTATGTTTACCTTATTACAACACTGAAAACTAAAAATAATCCTCCTATAACACGGTAGATACGTTCCTCCAGTATCCAGAAACATCGAAAATAATATAATGAGAATAAAAACACGAGAGTAAACCGTAAAAGTGGTTTTAATTATGTACTTTTCTACTCGAAATTTAGTTGAGTACTTTATTATAAGCGAATGGCTTTCCAAATGTTTCCAAAATAAAACCCATTTACGTAGTTAGGTCTCAGAAGACGCCTAACTACATTTGTCGTAGTCTAAAATAAGCTGTGCCGAGACGTAGCACGTAAACGCTTTTCACGAATCCCCAAGGAACTTCAGATATTCAGCGAGTCGAAGATAAGACTCTTTGTTTTATGATTTACGAACTATTTCGCAGTTTTCAATCGTAATCGAATAGCTCGTCCCGATGGATTCACCTGATCTACTCTCGGTATTGTTGGAAGCTTTTAGTTCTTATGCTAGCAAGAATCATAACACGCGTCACGGTCTGGGGACCGGCTAGGGGGACCTAAGAAGACGACGTGCAAGCTGCTCTGCACGCGTTTTACGCAAGAGCATCCGGGTGATGGAAGGCCGGCTATCCTCGACCCACGCTGGTTCTGACCCAGCGGGGTATTCCGTAGGATAAGTCACTGGGCTGGTGGTCGTGGCGCCGACGATCGCCAGTCCGGCGTCCCGAGGGGGAGGGTGATGGGAGAGATGTGCTCCGCACTAAACACATCACTTTCCCTCCTTTGCCTTTTCATGAGTTCTGTCTCATGTGAGGTTTAGACGTTAGTTGTTGAGCGACAGGAGGTTTTAGTCGGTTCGACTCCGACATGCTCCGCCCGCCGTCCCCAGTGGAGGGCGGAAGTCAGGCGATTTCCTCCTGACAAAAAAAAAAAAAACTCGTCACGGTACTCGTTGAAGAGTTAGACGTGACACTTCGCCTTTAGCATCAGCCCGCTGAGTTTCACGCTAGGATCTTTTAAATGGATCTCGATTCCGATCCGGTGGTAGGTGAACTCGCGAAGCAGTTACCTTAGAGGTCTTCTTAGGCTTCGGAAGCGTCCGGGTTGTTTCTAGTAGATCACACTCAAGTGGACACCCACCCATTTGGAAAATCTGGATCTGGATCAACAGAAATCGATTCTGAAGATCGAAAAGTATCCAGTATCAGCTAATAAATAAATTTAATCTTTAAGCTTTGTTTTTTTTCCATTATTGTAGATTTTTCAAAAGTTTAATTGTTCATCCTAAAAGCTTTTTACTTGGAATTTATCACCCAATTACGACTAGCCTAGTGACAATAGTTTTTTTGTTGTTTTGTATTCGTTTGCAGTATTTAAGCTATAATATTCACCTATACCTATAATATTCACAATATTCGCTGGTGATAATAATTACATCCACTCTATTAAGTTATTCCCCATTCTCAATTGTTGTAAGTGGTTTGCGAGACAACGAACTTGCATATTTTATGATCAAATACACTGACTGACCCAAAACTGAATTTCGCTGAGAAGACTGAGACTGTTTCCCTGACACGCGAAATTAGCTTTTATTTAGAAGAGGATAAGGGAATGGGCATATACTGTTTTTATACAATGTTGTAAAGGTTAATTCAATTTCGCTGTAATGAGAAAATAATCTGTACGAAATTATGTTTTAAAACACATCGAATTTATATTCACGAAGGTTTACGATCTTGTAATTATGTGAGATTATAAAAAGAATTTCTCTTCCAAATAATGGTGTAGAGGGGTGACTGTTGACTTCAATAAAACATAAAGACACTTTTCTTTATTTAATATATAATCTACATTTCAAAGAGAAGTAATAGTTAGGAAAAATTCATGCGTGATTTTGTTGAAGAGTATAAATGGTGGATTGATGAGGATTCATAGATTTCATTGCTTCTCTATCTATCTATCGATGTATCTATATTAATCTAGTACTAGCTGTACCCGTTCACTTTGCTGGCCATTTAAAATTAACATTATTATTTCTCACCCCCCCCAAAGATTCTCATCATTAACGCCCCCGCAACTGGTGTAGGGAGGGCCAACACTCATATAAATATTAGCCTATCCATTAAGTACACGTATTTTCTACATGGATACCAAGTTTCAAGTCAATCGGATGCACGGTTCAGTAGTTATAACGGAACATTCGTAAAAACCACTGTAGATTTATATAATAGTATAGAAGTATAGATGTATGTATACTTAAAATATGAAACCTATCTACCACAACCTCTTCACTAAACAAAAATATTATGTTTTTCCGCCGAAAATCACATAAACGAAATTTACATTTTTTTTCTACATTTTTAATTTTGCGTTGAAGATACTCACGGCCTACCTGATGGTTACAGAAGCCCATAGGCATCACCATGTGAATGCCGCCATCCGCCTTGAAACTTGAGTTCTGTCTCAATTTTAAATTAATTACACGAATGAAAATTTTTGCAGGTTCGTTTTTTATTACACGATATTATTCCTTCATCTTGGAAGTCGTACGTGAATATGAGTTTTTTATTATCACGTATTCCATTTCCTGTTCATTACCGAATTTATACCTTCTTGCGTCATTGGAACACTGGCCATAGTCGTATTGCTTGATATTATTATACTTGGCGTCTTATCCTTTAGGCCACGAAGTAGTGATGAATTAGACTAATTTATGTAAGCAGTTGGTACTGTTTCAAAAAGCTTCGATTGCTGTACTACTGTAAAAGCTCTTAATTCGCGCTTCCTTCATTCGCGTTTTCACTATACGCGGATTAAAAAAATGCGACCCAATTCCTATGTTCGCGGTTAAAGATTACTCATGTATCTAATCAGTACATCGGTACATACACTTTGATAAAAAGGATTCCAATAAGTAGGAATCCAACCAAATATCCTTTGTATATTCATATTCATTGAACGTTTTTTTATGGCTTAGATGTGTGGACGAGCTCACAGCCTACCTGATCTTAAGTGGTTACTGGATCCCACAGACATCTACAACGTAAATGCGCCACTCACCTTGAAATATAAGTTCTAAGGTCTCAGTATAGTCACAACGGCTGCCCCGCCCTTCAAACCGAAACGCATTACTGCTCCACGGCAGAAACAGACAGGGCAGTGGTACCTACCCGTGCGGACTCAAGAGGTCCTACCACCAGTAAACGTATACCATGTTTCCTGCATGTCAAAGTCGTAAGATCAATTAAGGATACTTATTTCGCCTTAGATTTCCGACTATATAAAGATAGTTTGTAGAAGTGATGAAATAACTATCGATTCTTTTATCAAGGATTAAAAAAGGACTATTAGAAGTGCAATTTTAGAATGCAATAAGCCCGCGAAAGAATTTTTCATAAGCCTTCAACTCTCCATGAATACGTCCTTCTTTTGTTAACCGCTTTTGTGTGTGATTTAAATAGGCACCATACTATGTGAATTAGTTCATATTTTATTAATATACTGAGCTCGACGCGTTGCTGGTTAGTCGGTTGATTTTTTTGCTATCGTCGCCTTTATAGACTAACGCTAATTGCG